GAACGGTCCTGCGCCCGCTTGCGAGAGGAAACGGCAGCGGCACAGATGCTGCGACAAGGCAAATAAGAATGGGAATGAGAGCGCGAGGCGGCACGCGCAAGAGCAATCTGCACTTGTTGAGAGAACTCCTCTGTATAGTCTTCGGCGAGCTTGCAATCCTTACCACGTGCTTCAACATGTGAATGTGTGTCATCGCATCTACGCCCCAAGCCGCTAGTCACGACATTGGATGTTGAGGCGATAGTCCACGGCTTCTTCATGCAATTCCCTCTGGGTGCCTTGAGTCCGCATGCACAACCATGCAACACTACTCTGTGCAATTCTATTTCTTTCATGAATGCTTTCACCTGAAGGCCCTTCCAGCACATGCATTGGCTGGGCCACTCAACGCACACACAACCCCCCCCCCCCCCCCCCCCCCCCCCAACGCCCCATCAACGACAGCGCGCGCGATCTCCCTAGAATTCCAGAAGATGCAGAAAATCCGTTCGAATCCCTGGAAGCCTTCGGAAAGATCAGTGGTTCCCCTGCGGAAGTAGCGAGCCCCATTAACACGCTGCCACGGGGAGCCCCCAGTGCACGGAATTGAAGTCCAACGTGAAATATGTCTTCCCTGGAACTCTTCTATATCTCTGAGTGCTTGATTGTTGCATATTTCTGTCCTCGTGTCCTCGTTTTCAGTGCATCGTTGTCAGCGAAGCTGCTTGGGTCACCTATATTGCTATTCGGCCCACTGAAGTACTCAATAATCACTCTTTTAAAGTTGCATCCAGCTGGGTCTTCCGTTGGCTGATCAATCAGTTGCGTTGATGCATTATCACTCGGCTCTGCTACAGCAGCATGGGCAACGTCAGTGCAATCGATCTGCTCGATGGGCTGCATCGACTTATCTGAGACATCCGATTCGCTATCAGTTATCAAACATAACCATAATTTCTCAATGTTCTTGTAATTTTCGCTGTTGAGAGCTTTTCCTTAAACCGCCAACACCGTCCCCAAAGGGTCTCTGGCTGACAACACTACCGGCTGTGCCGGGGGCTGCATCGGCTCCTTCTTCGGTGGCCACTACAGCATCCACCTGTAATGTGTTGGTCATGTTCGCATGCTTTATAGGCGCGGACGTCACTGGCAGCCATTTGGTCACCCGTTTCTTTAATGCATCTTTTTGCTTTTCACAATGCCCCCCGGACGCGCCGCAACTTTCAGACTGATTCAGGGCTTGAGAACCCCCCGGGCTTCAGGATAATATCACCAGAGAACATCGATGCAATATAGTCCTGGCATCGGTTGACCGTCCAAAGCTTTGGAGTAACTATGTCAACAAGGTAAAGCACCTTGACCCACGCGGCCGGATCTGTGAAGCGTTTGGCACCGATATCACCGGCCTCGTTCTGGGCACTTTCGTATTCTATGTGGCGGTTCCACGCGTAAATTGCTCAGACATCGCAGCAACTTCAATGCGGTGGGCGCGCGGGAATTGCATCAATGTCATCAAACCTCCGGCCTTAATCGCTATGAATACAGCCTGCTTATCTTCCAAGAACGCACGTTGAACTTTTCTTTGGAGCGATATTCCCCCACAACGACAGGGCAGGAAGCGTCTCAGTTCGCAATGCCAGATCTGCTGCAACTATGTCCGCCTCAAGTGTACCATGGGAAACAATTGCTTGTCGGCGTGATGCCATGCTTTGATTAGCTCGCGTGTACGGAGCCCGAATCACTTGGTGGCTAGCACTTGTACTACGATGTGTCCGTAAATCACTCGCGATGTCGGCAACATATTATTGATTGATTATAGCATCCCCCATTTTGCCACCAACCCACGACGTCATCTTATACAATGCCGTGGACTATGTAACATATCAGACGAAAAAGATCGATGTCCGAAAGCTCAGTCCACTTCGTGCTACAACTTGCTGAGTGACAGACTGCGCGCAATAAATCACATCGAGCCAATATTGCTCCATATAAGATCGTCATGAGAACCTGAGCCGCAATAGGTTGCTGGCCCCCCGACTGCGTCGGTGGTTCTGGATCGTCTGGGCCAGCTTCGCTGGCAATCCAGGACCTCGACTGTCGTATCCGGAGATCATGTGTCAACGTCTATTCCCAGCACAGCTGCTATTGCCTCCTCCGCAGGTGGGCGTTTCTCCCCCAGCGGGCCCCCTTGTCCATCCTCAAAATAAATCCACTCTGGACCAAAAGGGGCGCCCTCGGCGCCCTCGAAACCCTTTGTGCTACATAACCAAGTGAAGTCCCATCCGGCGTGGGAAAATGCGTTTCGCGCATGCCCGCTCGAAAAAAATGCGCCCCCCATGTCGGATCCTCGTTGCCTAATGGGGTCCGCAGACACCCGCTTTCCCTTGTGAAAAAATGGTGCGGAGCTTTTTGCGCAGAATCCCAACTAAATGACTAGGCTTGGAGCCCCGACCAGGACGCAAAAACGTCAAGATTATGACTTTTTGCGTGTCCGCTCGAGGATGGCGCATCCTGCGCGCAGAGATTCTGGGGATGTCTTGAGCGAAACGCTCGATTCGCAAAATTTGACGGGCCTGGGCTCCAGGATGCTCAGGAGGGTCTGGGAGGACGAATCCAAGGCAATTTGCGAGGGATCGCGGCCATGGGAGTGCGGGGGCCCTGGGAGCTCGGATCCAGCGCAATTCAATAGGGATCGTGGCCCTGGGAGTGCGGGGGCTGTGTAATTTACGAGGGGGTGCGGCTTTGGGGGCGCAAATCTAAAGTAATGTATGAAGGATCGCGGCTTTGGGAGCACAAATCCCGAGTAAATTCCGAAGGATTGCGGCCTTGGGAGCGCGGGTGCCGCGTGATTTACAAGGGATCGTGGCCCTGGGAGTGGCCCTGGGAGCGCGGATGCCGTATAACTCAAAATTTGTCGAGGAGGTCACAGCGAAACGGTTGTTTTGTGTTATAGATTGTTCCTCTCCTGGCGACCAGAATTCAGAGGATGTCTCAGGTGAAATGATTGTTTTCACGAGTCCCGATCTTGAGGATGTTTCGAGCGAGACGCTTGGTTTCACGCGTCCAGGTTGCCCAGGCAGATGTCTAGCATGAAGATGCGTTGAGGATGTCTCGAGCGAGACGCTTGTTTTCACGTGTCCAGGTCACCCAGGCGGATGTCTAGTATGAGGATGTGTTGAGGATGTGTCAAGCAAGACGCCTTGCTTCACGTGTCCAGGTCGCCCAGGCAGATGTCTAGCATGAGGAGGTGTTGAGAACGTGTCGAGCGAGACGCTTGTTTTCACGTGTCCAGGTCGCATGGGCGGATGTCTGACATAAGGGTGTGTTGAATGTCTCGAGCGAATCGATTGTTTCCACGTGCCCAGGTCACCCAGGCAGACGTCTAACATGAATGTGGTTTGAGGATGGCTTGAGTGAACCACCTTTTTTCAGGTGTCCAGTTCGCCAAGACGGATGTCTAGCATAAGAATGTGTTGAAGATGTGTTTAGCGAAACGCTTGTTTTCACGTGTCCAGGTCGCCCAGGCGGATGTCTAGCATGAGGATTCGGGCAAGATGTCTTGAGCGAAACGCTTGGCATGTTCCGTAGCGCGTCCCCTTGGCAAATCCCGCGGTGCGTCCCCATGGCACGTCCCCTGGCACGTCGCCTGGCGCGTCCCTTGGGACGTTCCGCGGCATGCCCCCCTGTCAACTAGCTTTGGGGCAGCTACCATGTGCTCAGGCAGCTCGAGCTTAAGATCCAGATCAGTTCGGCCAGGACTCGGATGCGAAGGAGGACTCGATCCACAACGCTTTAGAGCACAATCGCGGCATAGCACATCACAATTCAGCACGGCGCAGCACAGCACAGCCCTCGGAACGATACATCAGGATCGATACACTCAGCCTTGCATGTGCCCGTCGCCCAATCAGGTGTCGTTGGAACGTTGCCATCCTTTACATGTCTATTTTCCTTTCTGGGTTCGTGGGTCGATCATATAGATCCCAACGTACCCACAACCCATGCACGGTGGCAGGATGGGCCGAATGCTATTAGATTGTGTTTTCTTTCCTGCATGTTTCCTGGGAGCCTCTTGGGGCCTCTTGGAGGCTCGTGTCCTCTCCGAGCGGCCTCTTGGAGATTTCGCTCGATTCGCGGGGTGAGCGTTCAGAAAGCGCAGAGTATGAGTCTTGTGGGGCTTCTTGGGGGCCTCTGGGGCGCTTCTGGGAGGCGTTTGAGTCTGGAGGCCCTCTTGGAGTAATGTGGGGCGTTTGGTGGGCCTGTGAGCGGGCCGCTTGGGCAATCTCAGGGTGCTCTTTGGCCGCGTGGCACCTCCGAGAGCCATCCGGGGGGGCGTGTCTGGGCCGCTTTGGGGCCGTGTTGGGGCTCCCTGCGGCCGCCCTCAGGGTCTCTTCGGCTGTCTCCGAGTCGTCCTGGGGGTCTCTTGAGCCATGTTGGGGCCCTCCTGGGCCGGCTTGGGACCTTCTCGCGGGTGTCTTATACAGCCTCTGGGCCATCATGGAAGCTTCTGAGGCCGTCTTGAACGGCCACAACCTCGAAGAGGCGAGGACGCAAAACACCCATCAAAAGCCAACGGGAAATCATCAATAGGGCCCTCGGGAGCTTGATTGAAAACCTCTTGGAGCTGTTTCGCGCGAGGATGGAGACCGACCTATTGGGCTGTCTGACGGCCGTGTTGGACCGCCTGGGAGCCGTCGTGGGCTTCTCGGAATCGTCTTGGAAGCCATTGTGGGCCGTCTTGGGCGCCCTGCTGGCCCCATGCCGACCGAGCTGGGGCCACCGGCATGACTTCCGCCGAATTCTGCAAGTTTCTGCGCGAATTCTACCGAGTTCAGCCGTCCCGGTGCGCGGACGGCGGACGGATTGCGGAGGGTCGCGCTCTCAGACACCCCCAGGGAGCATAATTACCGACGGGAACCCCTCCAAAGGTCGCAGGAGAGGGGGGGGGTAAAACGCATCAGTCTCGATTTTCCCGATACGCCCCAAAGCGACTGGAAGGCGAAAGCGCGCGCGGGCAGATCCCGGTTGAAGTGCGGCTCGTCCCGCGGCCACCAAGAGCTGTGGGTCCGCAGCCACCTGCCCACGCAAGAGCGAGATAGCCTGAACCCCCATCCAACGTACGACTCTGGTGGTGCTGGGGGGAGGCGGCACGGAAAGGCCGATGCTAGAGGGGAGGTAAAATTCCCAACCCTCTTTGGTTGGGTATTCGTTTTGAATAGAGCATTGCTCGCGCGTCCTTCTCCTCCTCCCGCCTCCCGCTCCCCTCCTTCTTGTCTCCTCTTGCCTTGCCTGGGGGGGCTGCGATCTGCGACTGTCGCCACTTTCGAAGGCTGCTGGTGGGTCCAGCGGAGTGAGGCACCGCGCAGATTTGGGGTAGACCTCGCCGTCCCTGGGGGGCTGCGATCTGCGAAACTGTCGCCATTTTCAAGGGCTGCTGGTGGGTCCAGCGGAAAGAAGCACCGCGCAGACCTGAGGTAGACCACGCCGTCCCCGGGGGGCTGCGATCTGCGAAACCGTCGCCACTTTCGAGGGCTGCTGGTGGGTGCAGCGGAGTGAGACACCGCGCAGACCTGAGGTAGACCTCGCCGTCCCTGGAGGGCTGCGATCTGCGAAACCGTCGCCACTTTCGAGGGCTGCAGGTGTGTTCGCCACTTTCGAGGGCTGCTGGTGGGTCCAGCGGAATGAGGCACTGCGCTGACCTGAGCAGGACCTCGCCGTCCCTGGGCGGCCATGCCATGTTGTTTCTGCCCCGCCGACGTTTCAGGACCCTTGCCCAGTCTCCTTTTGGACTTTGCGTCTTCCAAAGTGACTCAGGGGTTCACTTAGTTAATTACTCATCGTTTTTCCCGGAAAGGGCGGGGGCCCAGGTTTCTCTTTAGTTGGTTGATTCACCCCCAGAAGAGGCCCGCCGATTTCCGCTCGATAGAAAACATGGTAAAGTCTCATCCGGCGTGAAAAAATACGTTTCGCGCGTGCCCGCTCGAAAAAAGTCGACCCCCCACCTCGGATCCTTGATAAATAACGGGAATAATGGGGTCCGCGGACTCCGTCTTCTTTAATAATAACAAAAAGGCGGACATTTTTTTGCAGAATCCTGGAAAACGAGGTTTGGAGCCCCGACCGCGACGCGGAAAAGCGCCCCGCGCGCAGGAATTCCGAGGATGTCTCGCGCGTGCCGCGTCCCGCGCGCGCAGGAATTTCGAGGATGTCTCGACTAATTTACTGATGTTTGCCAGATTTCCTCGGCCACACAAGGGGGTATCTAACATGTTCTGCTAGAGCATGAAAATGTTGAGTTTTTGCGTGCCCGCTCGAGGATGGTGCGCTCCCCGCGCCAAAAGGTCCAGGATGTCTGGGGCGAAACGCTTGTTTTGCAAAACCTGAGGGACCTGGGCGCCCCAGCATGCCCCAGGAGGCCCTGCGAGCGCGGACGCGGTGTAATCCACGAGGGATCGTGGCGTTTGGAGCGCGAACCACGCGTGCGAACCTTCCGAATGCCGCTCGCAGACGTATTTGCGTCCATGTCTCGTCTTTCTCGACAAATCTCCCAAGCTACTCCTACCCCGCATTGCGCAGGGGGTGGGTACGTCGCCAGGGTCATGTCCTTTTCCTCCTCCTCCTCCTACCCCTCCGCCTCCTCGTCCTTATATCACTAATTCTAGCCTCCCCCATATTCAGAGGGAATGGCGAGAAAGGGTGGACGCGCAAACGGGACGGAACGCAGAGCTTACGCGCACGCGTGTGGCTCGAATGGTGCCATTTGACAGATGTGCCATCCACACCACGGTCCGTCGCAATCACTCCAACGAACGCGCGCGCAGATTGGCCAGCGTGGACGCGAACCGTGAAGTATTCTGCTGAAGCTAGAAAGTGAAATCTATGTGGTGTCAGTTTTCTGGTGCAAGCGATGTGGTGTGAAATACGGTGTGTCCGTGAGAAAAATACGCTGTGAAATCCACCTTGCAAGAGCTCAGAATATCAACCCCGCTGCTGGCGCAATCATCCAACCCTCCCACCCGCAACCTGTTTTGCACGACCCGTGCAGCCGAAATTACGGAGACTATTTGGGTTTGCCCGGTGGCACCCCAGAGCTTACACCACATTGCTTGCGCCACGTAGTTTGCACTACACAGCTTGCACCACGCGAGTTTCACCACGCGGCCTAAGTTCTCCTCCCCAGAATTAATCAGGATCTACCTCCCCACGGAAGAATTCACGGTTCACCTTTCCGCAATGCAAGTTGCAAGCGTCTCTGTTCCATCGTCCATCCTGAATTTTAACGCATACCATCCCAAGCAGGCCAGCTTCTACCCCCCTCATCATTTGCAGAAAAACTATGCGCGCACACTCGTGTATCAAAAACCTTTCAGATGTCAATAACTCCTTGCAAAACATGGGACGGAGTGCGCGCGCTCGCGTCGTCGCGCGCGCGTGCCCCGAACACACTTCTTCTCGGAACTAGTGTCCCGAACACACTTTTTCCCGGAAAGGGCCTGAGCCCAGGGTTCCCTTATAGTAGGTAAACCAGTTCGAAAAAGGGGTTGGGAGGCCCAACCAGCAGCTTCGCTTTAGGCGAACCCCAGCTCCCGCTCTGTTGTACCGTAGCAGCGATAGTCCCAGTAGTAGGGGGCGAGCCATCTCAAGCAGTTTTGGTATTGATGGCAACTGGTACACCTCGCGCTGAGGTGCAGCCAGATCTGGGCGGCCGGCCGCTTCGAGCCAAGCAACCGCGGATGCACGCTGGTGCCCACGCACATGCAACACCCAGCTCGCTCTAGAGCTGGCGGGGGGGGAGACGAAGCGTGAACCCGCCGCCTCTATGCAGCAGGTACAGCAGCGACCATTAACAAAAGGGGCAGCAAAAGGGCGGGGCCGTAAGGAAGGTGGACCCGCGCGCAAGTTGCCTTGCCTGCACTATACCGTGCATACGAGTACTCCTCAGGCGGCTACAGAACGATACGTCTGGCCAGCCCGATAGGAAGTATGATGCTTTAAGTCATGTTTGAAGGACTGTGTACCTCCCATGACCAATAAGCGCATTTCTCTGTCGATGCCCCCCTTGGTGTGACCGTCCGCAGTCATATCGCGGGTGCCGCACCACTGAGTACTGTGCACGATTTCTCGCACCGTCATCAACCGTATCCAGCTGGTGTGTCCTACAAGGGTACACCCAGTCGGCTTCTTCAGGTCCTTGTTAGACAAGGCCTTAAAACCAGACGCAGCACCTGTGGTCAAATGGACCTTTCTGCTCAGGCCACCCAACTCAAGTACGCCCTTCAACTGAGCTGCATGGAGCCCGCGCAGAGTCACGATCGTAAGAACAGTCCTCCAAGTTGTGGGTTGCTGCTAGTGCCTCTGCTGAGTAGCTCGAGCGGACCTGCTAGCGGTGAGATTTGCAGTGCGCATCGAACAAGTGAAGGACGGGCTTGCCGGATGGCGTGCTTCCACGTAGTAGCAGGTTTGCCCCGCGAGTGCCATGGAAATTGACTTCGTCAACGGCATCTCCACTCAGGCGTAGGTAACCTGAGTCGCTGTGCAGGTCGACCTTGCCCGCGGGGGTCATCGCCTGGTAGGCGATCTTCTTGGGGCAGGCCTGCGTCGCGGTAATCGCGCTCAGTCGTCGCACTTGCATGTTGGTCGGTTCTTAGACGCGCTGTAGAGATACAACATGCACCATCAACAAAACCTGGGGGATTCATGCATGCGCCAATGCGCCTCTAAGGCTGACGAACATGTCTGCAACCATCCTGGGTGCTTGGGCGCCAACGTCGGCGGCTGTAACATCAAGATGCTGTATAAGACGGAGCTGATTGATGTAGTCGTCTTGGTCCAAAGCATCACTGCCGCCCTCATCCCCGATATAGCCCAATTGGTGCACGTGTGCACGTTGAGTTTACACTTGCCAGAAGTGTATTCTACGCACTGGACGCACTTCTCAATGGCGTCCTCTGTGCCGGCCAGATTGATGCCATCAACATGTTTGGCCGTGAGCAGGTCGCTGCTCGTCTCCAAATGATCGTCGTAGGACGTGGGTCTGAGACCAAAACCTCTTGTGGTCCTTCTGAGCTTGAGTGGGACAGCTCGAGGTGCGCCCTTGGCGCCAGCAGCCGCTGGCTTGACCGCCGTGCTGTCCCCAAAGAGGTTTCCAGATCGAAGGCTTCAAGGTCCATGAAGCCTCGAAGCGCCAAGCGCACTCTGATGGTACGCTCCATTTCGCCCATCTCGTTCTTCACAATCCATGTGTACACATACCTCGAAGTCATGATGTTTGACGCTTTAGATATATTTTGCAGCTTGAAGCACGCGTTGTCAAACCATGTCTTGAATTCAGTGCGTGGGGCTTTCGGCTCGTTCTCGGGATCCGCCTGGACGTCGGCCTTCGCGAGGAGGTCGTCTTCCTTGACGACCGCAGCTCGCATTGCAGCGGCGGCGACATATCCTCGCACGGTGGTCACGCGGTCGACATCTAATATCCTGTGCTGTTGTTCGGACAGGACTACCTTTGACATGTCTGCCATGAAGCAGAGCTCGACAGATCGTCCATTTTCGTCTGAGTCCAGTCCGTAACGGCAAACTTCGACCGTAGAGCGCATTGGGACATCATACGCCCCCTCGATGTCGGAGTCGCGCGGGTGCCCCCACTTAGGCACGTGTCCCCGCTGTTCTACAGCTACAGTGATCAGCAAACGGCTGTCTGGAATCAAATGTGTGGGAACTGTGAAAAGGTCCCCTAGTGGGGTTGCCTCCAGTAGTTCCCTTTTCATCTTGTAGTTCTGTATACCACACTTCCATAATGCGTCCCTCTAGGTCAGCCTCTGATTCCACATGTATCGTGGGAAGACGCCCATCCTCCTGTGGTGGTTCGGCTTCTGGGGCTTCTCTTGCGGTTCCGTCCGGTGCCGGTGCATCCGCCAATTCCTCGAACTTTGTCACTTCCTGGTCAAAGCCCGCCTGAGGTTTGGTGGGCTTCAGGCGCTGGATGTTGCTTGAATGTGCTGATCCATTTCGATCGTGAGTGTTAAGAGCGGTGCCGTCTGCTTCATAATCGTGAATTCCTGGATTCACATCGTTGTGAA